ATTCGAGGTCTCATAATCTTAGCTTTCCACGTCACGCTTTCAGTAGTCTCGATCAGTTAGGATTATTTTTCAGAATTCGCGCATTCCAAAAAAAACTATTACTGTTTTTATGCAGAAGTTACACTAGACTAAAGTTCTGGATAGAAAAAATAGCTTTTATATGCAGAGAAACCCGAGAAAACAGACTTTGAAAGTAGCCCTCGGCCGACCTCGAAAATCGGCGTCTTTCACTGATTTGGGGTCGATGGACAAAAATTCGCATAGCGGGTGGAAAAAAGAATTTAGAACAATTCTAACTGCAATTTTGTAGTGAGGATAGATAGTACTTTCGATGATAGCAATATAAAAGAAATCTATTTTTCGAGCCCAGATCGAGTGGCACGCTGTTACAGAGACGCCCTCTTAAAGGTGCTTGGGGTATAGGTCAAGATATTATAGCACTCTGTTGTTCTTTCCATGCAAAAAACAATGAGTACTATCTTTGGTGTGTTGCCTTGATTCCTAGTATCACACATTGCTAGATGTACACAATGATAACCACTCATTCAAAAATTAATCTTCCCTTCCTGTTATGAAATGCTTACAACAAACATTCATTCATGTATTGTTGCAGTTCAATATAGTGTGGTTAACCAGCATAACAACAGGATTATTGGCAATGATTCTTGGACTGAAGCCATGCCAAGCTCTTGCAATCCATACCCTCCTCTATCATGTTTCCCCTTGTTTCATCCATGAGAAAGGAAGAGCAAGCTAAAGAAGAGCAGAGACTATATTTCCTATCGCAAAGACTTCACTAATAACTTTGACAATTTGAGCAACAACAAACAATGTTTACAATAAAATTGAAATTTAAGTCTGTTGTAAACATTTGACCTCTTGGAAAAGGATGTGACTTACGGTAACCATACACCATAGATATTTGAATAAGTTCTAGAATGAAGAAGAGGAATGGCTTCTATTAACGATTAATTGGCATATAACAAACCCTTGTCAAAGTATATGAAGACAATCTTGTTATCAAGATGTGATCATGAGGTATTGAATTTATTAGGGAAATCTTGACTGACTGACATCATCAATAAGAATACTAGGGAAAAAATTCCTTGGATAATAGCCAGTTAAAGACCAAAGCTTTTTGATAAAGAAATTTTAAATGTAAAAAAGAAAATCTTATGGCAGTCATAATTAAATGATTTTATGGAGGAAGCCCAAAAACTGTAATAAAATAAGTTCAAAGGGTTCTATTTTGAAACGTTTTTTGGTATACACTATGTGAAGATGAAAAAAAGTAAGAGGTCTAGAGATATTAGTGATACAACATTGAATTTAGATGTTACCACACTACTCCACTCACTTTATTAAATTGTTCTACAACCTTCACAACTCAATGTAATATACGTTTTTTGGTATACACTTTGTGAAGATGAAAAAAAGTAAGAGTAGGTCTAAAGATATTAGTGATACAACACTATTGAATTTAGATGTTACCACACTACTCCACTCACTTTATTAATAATTGTTCTACGACCTTTACAATTCAATGTAATATACGTTTTTTGGTATACACTATGTGAAGATGAAAAAAAGTAAGAGTAGGTCTAGAGATATTAGTGATACGACACAATATTGAATTTAGTTACCACACTACTCCACTCACTTTATTAATAATTGTTCTACAACCTTTACAACTCAATGTAATATTCTATATGTGTTAATCTTATAATATCTTTTTAAAATAATACTTTACTTTAGAAATTAAATTTACCTTATTCTTATTGCAAAATAAACTTATCCACCACAGCACAGTTCTTCACTGGAAGAATGTACAAACATCTGCACTCATTCTAGTCATACTACAAGTTATTTACATAGTAAAAACTGCCACTTATCATGACAGCAATCAATACTGCATGCATGGTATAACATACAATAATCAATAGCATGCATTGGGTTATAATATAATACATAAAAAGTTTTAAATAAAATGGAAAAAAAGCCTAATAAATTGGTAGGTAAACAATGAAATTAACCTATAGTAGATCCTATTTTCTGGTATTTTATTTACCAGTAAAGAATACAAATGCCGTCCAGCAAGACAGTATAAACCAAAATACAGTGCTTACTTCAAAACAACAGCTTCTGTTTTTACAATTTTCCCTAGCCTAAAAAAACACAATGACACTGTTTATTATAAAATAATATTTTTGAGCAAAATTATTGTGAAATTCTGAGCGAAAAAGGATAAATATATCAATACATTTGCAGACAAGCTTGTAAAAGAAACATTTAAAAACTATGAGCTGAAAGAATCCATATGTGGAGTAAATATTTCTGTTTGAAAAAAAAAAACCATCTTAAAAGCATTGATTACTACACAATGGTCTGCATAAGTAGACCAGCAAAAAGTAAGACTTCCTCAGAAGCAATCATCTTCCTACTTAAAAGCATCTACATTCAAACCCTACTCTGACTTATTGTTTATAGATAAAATAATGTTCAACTATCAGAGTTTAAACCTAAAACTGTCATCTATGAAAAACTACTATACCTTTATGCTTCTAAAGGTGTGGTAGGCTACAAAGTTGTGGAACTTGTAGCAAAACATCATTGAACAGCAAGTTGCCATGAATGTTGCCAGTTCGGCCTCTCCCTCCTTGTGCAACACACTTTCTGTCGTAGATAGTAAAGGTGACCTACTTTTCGGTGTAAGAAGACATGCTTCACATGGAGTACTTAAGTACAATTTAAGCCACATTGACTTGCAGTGCAACAATGTCTAGAACAAGTTCAATGACTTTGTTGCCATATTGTCACACCTTGGAAATTTCCTTAGCAATATTAACATATACTTATCTCTTCCTCTTGACATAACAATGCCTGAGGATTTATAAACATTAATGTCCTACATATTGAAAGCTCCTTGGCAATCCATTTGTCAAAGTGCCAGCACACTGCAACCAAGAGCAATTTTATGTACAAATTCAACATACATTAAAAGTATTCACATGATCCAGAAATATTATTACTTTGAAGATTTCTGGACCTTAATGAATTAAAATTATTATTAATAAAGTTAAATCACGCTACAGCAATCATAGGTCTTCCTCGACCAACGCCAGCTCTGAACCCTTTGGTACCATCTGGACCTTTTGGTAACCGTTGTACACCTTCCAACTGCACCATTCTGTGTTTTACTAGTTCAGAATCGGCTAATGGTGAGTGTCCACTGGGTAATGCAGTCTTTCGTCTCTGTGACCATGGACTGTTAGGTGCACTAGAGCTACCTTCTTTGACAGTATGGGTACCAAGACTTTTCCTGGCTGGTTCTGGACTACTCTGTGGTGATCGCCACGACCCTGTGGTAGGTGCAATTTCTCGGCGGCTTGTTTTTGGGCTTCCCTTGGGGCTGTTTGATGGAGAGTTCCTATATCGTCGCTGACAGCTGCTGAATGGGTTGTAAGAGCTGTCAGTATCAGAAGAACATGAACTCGTATGACCCTCATCTGTAGAGGTCCCTGCTAGTTCCGCTAATCGCTTATTCTTATTCCGCTTCCCCCTATTTCGTTTTCTTTTCGTTTTGTCGTCGTGTTCTTCATCTGAGTCAGGTACAGGTTCACCATCACGGTCTCTATTCTTTGCCTTTTCTTTCTTCTTGGTTTGCTTGCCTAATTCCACTACTTTCATCCCTCCCTCTTTCGTTAATTCGCTACACGCACGTGCTGCCGCTGCCATGGTTTCGAACTCCACGATAGCGAAAGTTTCGGTGGTAAGATCTTGGGTTTTTGACAGGTAACTCTTGACATCCGAGGGGATAGACTTGCCTGGTCGAATGATACGAATGAGAATAATTTCTCCACACTTTGAAAACATTTCACTAACATGTTCAAAGGTCGGTTCATCCATTTTTGTAGCAATCACTGTGCGACCAGGGTTTCGCTCTAACAGTTCGGTAGGAAGAGGGCTATTTCTTTTCACTTTCGTCACTTCAGCATTCAGTGTTAGCTTGGTCGATTCCTTTAAAGATTCACCAACGACGCGATAATCCTTGGTAAGGGATTTTACCTTTTTAAACGACGTTATTAGCTTCAAATTTACGTATCCTTCCTTATTGCGTCTCACATGCTTGAGTAAGAACGCGTCACGACTCAGGTTTTCATCGCTCAAGTACAGTTCAACTTGTGCTATGATTTTTTGCTTCAGTTCGTCGTTAGGCGGACTGTACACGTCCGGTAGATCTTTCAAATCAGTATCGGAGTGAGAATCAGCAGCACTAGGCGATCGAATAGCCAGCTTTTTATCGTTTTCTTCTTCAGAATTTGAAGAAGCGGCGAGATCCTGGTCAGAACAGCCTACGAACTCCTCACCATTCACCAGGACTTTAGGTGAGTTTTCAAGATTCGATTCTGTTTTCTTTACCGCGGAATTATCGCTCTGACCGTCAGCCATGATGAGATACGATCCAAATCAGACGTTTCTCACCGTAAAGCTTACGAACCAGTTACTTCTTCTTCGACCTTACAACTAGTATGTCAAACGCCTAGTAAGATATTTATAAATGGTTCTCACGTGGTAAAACCCTGTGACGCAAAAAAAAAAACCATTGTCTTGATGGCCGGTGCACTTGGCCTTCCGGTCACAAGACCCACCCCCTGATCACTACTAAGACACGTTTCTATTTGCACGATTTGCTAACCTTGACAAATTACGTAAGTATTGCAACTGGTCTATATATTGGAACTATGTTAATGAAAAGTATGTAGAATGATAGTTGCTGCGTAATTTAAAATGCACCAATACACGTAGATGCCATACTCCTAATATTAAACGACTGACAGATGACGTAATGCGTTACGTGCTCTTGTGTGGGTTTATTATGGTGGCGAGAGAGAATGTTAGTAATCACTTGGATTCATAGTACGATAAGTGCTGCATGGTCAATACACCAAAGAACGAAGTTAAGACGTCATTCTGCTGCCCAAAGTACGAAAGTATATATCGCATGAGGCATTGACATGAATGTGGGCAAGTGTGACAGAGTCAAARGACACTATTTTGGACAGTAATTATTTAG